AATCCTTGACAACTTCAATCTTTTCTCCATTTATCATGATGCTGCTTATTGGTCCAGTTGTGAGGATTTTTGTTTTCTTTATGTTGAGGTATAATTCATACTGAAGGCTGTGGTCTTCGATCTTCATCAGTAAGTGTTTCAAGTCCCCTTCACTTTCAGTAAGCAAAGTTGTGTTATCTGCGTAACGCAGGTTGTTAATGAGTCTTCCTCCAATCCTGATGCCTGGTTCTTCTTCATATAGTCGCGCTCCTCGGGTTATATGGTCAGCATACAGATTGAATAGGTATGGTGAAAGGATACAACCCCGACGCACACCTTTCCTGGCTTTAAGTCATGCAGTATCCCCTTGTTGTGTTCGAATGACTGCCTCTTGATCTATGTACAGGTTCCTAATGAGCAAAAAAATAACATATCAAAATGATACGGAGACAACCTGAAAGAGCTCCCAAAGGCAAAAGCTAGAACAACTTGAGCAGCAAAATAAATAATGGTAGTATTACATTATGGTGAGGCAATGGTTAAGTGCTCGGCCACTAACCAGAAGATCAGTGGTTCAAACCCACTCAGCAGCTCTGCGGGAGAAAAGATCCAGTGATCTGCTCCTGTAAAGAGTACAGCCTAGGAAACCCTATGGGGCAGTTCTGCTCCATCATATGGGGTCGCTACGAGTCAGAATCTTCTCGTAGGCACACAGCAACAATATTAGATTATAACCCCCAAAATAAAATACTCGTGAGTCCATACCAATATAAATAAATGGTTGCATAAATAAATAAATGGAGGAAAAGGGACGACTCTTCCCCAAAGAAGAATTCTGATTAACAAGTGTAGAAAGAATAAGGGAAATAGAAAATCCCCCCTGCAAAGCACCCTCACAAACGCCACCATGGCAGTCCTCTTCCACATGTTACTGTAAAAAAGTTACCATAAAGCACTTATGAAAATACCTCGCAAGGGGAGGATGCAGTAGGCAAACAGTCACAGAAGGTACACATTATTTTTGTAAAAATACAGTATATAATTATCCTCCATTTTGTGATCTGATGTAAAGGGAGTTTCCTTGGGGATATGGCCTGCATCCAGTATATATGGCTGTTCTGGCAAATCTCGCTCTCTCTCGATCCTGCATCTGACTCCTCATCATCTGACTTACGGTTCTTGTGAGCCAGCAGCCTGCTGCCTGACCTGCCAGTTTTGGGTTCATCAGCCCCCACAACCATGTGAGCCAGGAGAAGCCTCCAGCTGGACACCTGACCCATGAATTTGGGACTTAACAGCCTCCACAACTGTGTGAGCCATTTCCTTGAAATAAATCTCTCTCTCTCTCTCTCTCTCTATATATATATATATACACTCACTCTCACACACATACACACACACACACGTATACACACACACACACACACTTTGGTTTTGCTTCTCTGGTTTTGCTCCTCTAGAGAACCCATCCTAAGACACATGGTAACTAAATGCAATGTGGTGTCCTGTATTGGATCCCGGCACAGAAAAAGAATCCTAGTGAAAAAACTGGCAGAATCTGGATAAAGTCTGTAGTTTAGTTTAGAGTGTTGTACCAATGTTAATTTCTTAGTTTGGAATAATTGTACCACTGGTATGTAAGATGTTAACATTAGGGGAAGCCAGCTCCTTATACTGTCTTTGAAACTTTTCTGTAAATCTAAAATTATTTCAAAATAAAATAGTTCTAAAAATATGAAAGCAAAACCCATTGCTGTGGAGTCAATTCTGACTCATGGAGACCCCACATGTTTCAGAGTAGAACTGCACTCCATAGGGCTTTCAGTGGCTGTAACATTATGGAAGTAGGTTGCCAGCTGTTGCTTCTGAGGCACCACTGGCTGGATTTGAACCACCAAACTTTTGGTTAGTAGTCAAGTGCAAATTGTTTGCACCACCCAGGGACCTTGAGGGGGGAGGCCATCATAAGTGGAAAAGAGAGGGAGAGAACAAGATGGAGGGGACAAGAAGAGAAGCTAAGCTCCTCCTAACATACCCTATTGTATAGTCTTGACTCTGAAACTATGGAAATATTTTACATAATAATAAAAACAAAATTAAACTTAAAAAAAAAAAGCAAGCCGTGGAAATTGGGAGTAAAATGAAATAATTGATTCTGATTGTATATCAAACTAGTAGCATAACTATAGAAATGAACTATTTCAAGAGACTTTAAAATAGTAATTTGATTGTACCTCCCTAATGGGATGTAGGCGCCCTGGTGGTGCAGTGGTTAAGAGCTCAGCTGCTAACCAAAAGGTTGACAGTTGAAATCCACCAGCTGCTCCTTGGAAACCCCACGGGGCAGTTCTACTCTGTCCTGTAGGGTTGCTATGAGTCAGAATTGACTCGACGGCAACAGGTTTGGTTTTTGGTTTTCAGTGGGATATAATCTGAGGGCAAAAAGAACCACAAAAAATGAATTGTTTACAGTTATTGTGTTGTTGGTGGTAGGGATGGTATTATTCTAAGACTGTTGTTAGCGTTTAATAACTGCAGTAAAAACATAAAATATGTTTAAATCTATGAATTTATAGTGGTACTGGGAAGGAACAACTCACTAATCCCCTTTGTAGGATGCTAGGGAATCAACTCTTTATTTTGAATTGGTAAATAAAGGCCAAGTATCAAGCAATTATTCTACCTTTTCCAAATAAACCATGCCTCATGGTAACCAAATATTTGGTGAGGACAGGGTTCTCTTTATAGAAGCGTGAGCTAACAAATGCAGAATTTGAATACTGCTCTTTTACAGTCCCCTGATGATGTAACTAGAAAGAAAGGCCTGGAGATGTACTCCTGAAAATCAACCAGTGAAAACCCTCTGGATCACAATGCTTCATCTGGAACAGATCATGGGGATGGCGTAGGGCTGGGCAGTGTTTCATTCCGTTGTGCACGGGGGCCTGCCTGAATGGCAGCTAACAATAACAACAATGTAATGGCTATAGCAGTGATGATCACTTCCTGCTAGCATCACAAAAAAGAGCCCACCATTATCATATGTCTCCCAATGGAAGTACACAATATAACTGGTAAAGCATTCTTGCTAAAAAGGGAAGCAGAATCTGATTAAGCTTCTGTATCTGAGCACTTATTTACAGGAAATAGAAGGGAGAGGAGTGGGTTACATGATTCCATGGTGACGTAATCAGCAAAATCCAGACTGGTGGGAGCTCTGTGAGGCAACAGCCTGCTTTCATCAGCCAATAAACTACAAGGGGGAAAGGTCAGAGATGAATGGAGAACAGTAGATTAAAAAAGTCTTATTCAACAGCCATCAGTTCTAATGCACTGACCTTATTTAGATTTGATTTGAACAAAGAAACTGTTAGAAAATGAGATAATTGGTGAAATTTGAGTACTTCCTAGATGTATGATCGTATTGAGTAATTATTAAGAGTTTTCATTATGACAGTGGTATTGCGACGCTATAGGACAGAGTAGAACTGCCCCATAGGGTTTCCAAGGAGTGGCTGGTGGATTCAAACTGGTACCTTTTGGTTAGCAGCTGAGCCCTTAACCACTGTGCCACTAGGGCTCCAGTGGTATTACAGTATGTTTTAAAAGGGTCTATCTTTTGGAGATACATTCTGAAATATTTATAGGTGAAATGATACAGTTTCTGGGTTTGCTTTTTCAACATAATCCAAGGGCAGGAGGTAGATTGTGTGGGGACAGAGATGAAATACAGTTGACCATGAATTGATGCTTGTCGAAGTTGAAATCAAATGATGGGTACATGGAGGTTCTTTATATTCACCCCTCTGCTTCTGTGTTCATTTGGGATTTACTGTTAAAAATTTAAAAAAAAAATCAATAAAAGGGTATGTGCTTTGGAGGCTCCTTTTGAATCCTGCCTCTGTCACCTCTAAATTGCTTGACTCAGCCATTATGTAGCCTCTGTAGCTTCAATGTTCTCATCTGACAACACCTGGGAGGTGAAAAGGACTGAGAGAAACAATGCGTGAAATACTAAGGTCAGTATCTAGTCCCCAGTAAGCCTCAGTGAATGGCAGCTGTGATGATAGTTATTGATGATGATGATGTCATCAACATCACATTCTTATGTAGAATAAAGCAGTTAGTCCCCTGATGTTTCAAGTTCATACTGCACAGATTTGCTCCCTATACGCAAAATAGACAATTCTCGATGTAAACTCAGTCTGTCTTGGCCAGACAGTGCCTTTATAAATATGTGCAGTAATGCCCCTCATCTCTGAAGGCCTCCCTTCCAGCAGGTTCCAACACAGCCAAGTTGTGAACCCAACAAAAATAGCTGACACCAAGCCCACACACTCCACTCCGTAAGCGAGGCAGCAGAGCTGCCAAGAAGCTGGGGTGGGTGGTCGCCAGTAGAATGCCATGCTGCCTCTCCCAGCGGCTCTGGCTGCCACTTGGCTCCCGAGAATGCCTGGCAATGAGCACCATCCTTCCCTCAAGTGATTCTTACACTTTGCACAGAGTGAGAAGGAGAACCCATCCAATGCTATTCTTTCACAGCCTAAGGCATTACTTGGATCCAACCATTGTTGGCAAATAGGTTGGTTAATGGTACTTCGAAGGAATCATGCTTTTTGTACATTTATGCACTCATCAAATATTTATTGGGTGTCTACTATATGTCAGGCTCCAAATACCCAAATGAATTTGGCCAATTGGCTATAAAAGAATAATTACACACTTTCCTGAACCTCCGTGGCAGTTGCTGAGAAGTGCTCACAGAGCGTGGTAACATTGAAGCCTATCAGTTTTGTCTAAAGTCTTCCTTCTTGGTCTTCTTTTTTGGTGATGTTCATGCTTCCTGCCTTACAGTTTCACTTGCATCCCCCATCCCTTCCAAAAAGAGACCATTATTAATTCCTAGGTCTTGTGTCAATTCTGTTCCACCTTATCTTTCCTTGAGGTACAGTGTCTGTGAATGCTGTTTTAACTCCTCTTAACCATTGTAGTTGTTGGGTGCCATTGAGTCGATTCAGACTTACAGCACCCCAACGCGACAGAGTAGAACTGCCCCGTAGGGTCTCATAGGCTGTAATCTTTATGGGGGCAGATCACCACGTCTTGAACCACTAGCCTTTCAGTTAGCAGCGGAGCACTTAACCGTTGTGCCACCAGGGCGCCTTCTCTTACCCATTACAAGTTCTGATTTTGCACAGATACATTTTTCTCTGGTGGGCTTTGTTTATCGTTTGTGCCTTACAAAAATAAGTTTGACATGACTAGCTGTGTGCCAGGCCCTAAGCTTCAAGATTTACAGGTGTTAGGTAATTATCTATGTCCCCCTTCTTTCCACCGTCAGCTGCCCCACTGCTGTGCTCCCACTTCTGGTGGCCACGTAGCCTGAGGCCCCAGTGCCAGAGGCAGATTAGCGATAGTAATGGCAGCAGTGGGAGGAGGTGGAGGGGCCATTAGAAGCACACGTACAAGCATAGTATCTAAGCACATCAGATCTCTCATTGTCAACAGCACACTCTGTCTTCTAAGGCAAGGCTGTGTAAGAGAAAGCTTTCCACCAAACTGGTTTTTGCAAGTCTTCGTACTTGCAAAAAGACATTTTCTCTGGAAAATATTTTTATTGGAGCAACTGATTTCCCAGGGATGCCAGGTAGGTGGGTATCACAGAGTATGAGTTGGTTGTGTGCGCTGGTTTGGTATTAATACATGATCTTGGAACTTCTGGGTAACTGTTCGTCTTCTAGAAGGTCACTTAGACAATATTATATTTTTCTTTAGCCAGCAACAGAAACTCCTGAAGAACCGTCTACCCAGTATCTCCACATCACGGAAGCCGAAGAGGACGTTCAGGGGACACAGGCAGCCGTGGCCGCGCTCCAGGACCTGAGATACACCTCCGACAGTGGTGGGTGGGCTTACAGGCTCCCATGAACACCTTGAACAGCCCTTTAGTAGACGTCCTGAGTGAGTACGTTTGGGAGTGAGTGATGTCCATCAGCAGATGGACTTTACAATCCCCGACCTGGCATTCAGACCGCAGAAGCTGGCCCATCGTCGGACGCCGGGGAGCTCTGCCTACGGAAATATCTGGGAATAGCCACAGCAAAGGTTGTGCCAGACTTCCCCACACATTATCACATTCCACCATCAGAACAGTCTGTGGGAGAGGCAGATCTTACTGTTCTCACGTCTCAGAAGCAGAAGTGGCTCTTCATTGTAGATGGTTGGCTGAGGGTCAACACTTTGGGCCTGGAATCTGGGCCTCTTGACTTCTCGTCAAAGTGTCGCCCCCATTCCTGCTTCCTCACGGACATCTATTCTGGAGCCACACACTCAAAGGCCTCTGGGGCCAGGCCGGCAGTGGCAGGGGTGGCGTGGGGTCTGCAAGAAGCTGGAGAGTGGCTGAGACAGTGGCATGCTCTAGGACACAGCTTCTACTGAAGGGCACGGCTGCTGCCAGCTCCAGCTGAGGGCTGCCTGGCAGAGATGGGGCACAGGATTGCCTGCTCCCCAGGCCTCCCAAAAGCCCAGATGAGGATTTTTATGTCAGATGTCCCAATTTTCACGTTAGATCAGCATTAAAAAAATAAACCACTGGGCCAGCCTGGTGGGAATTGGGATATCGTTTGTAAAAAACATCTTTTCTTGATGCTCTTTCCAAAATTTAAAGAGGACGCAAGTCAGTGTCCCATACCACAACCCTGTCTGTATTTAGGGGACAGAGGTTGAGCAGGTGGGAGGGGTTAAGAGGAAAGCAAAGGGTACTAGGAGATAAAACCCATCTTCGTCGAGTCGATTTCAACTCATAGCAACCCTATAGGACAGAGTAGAACTGCCCCACAGGGTTTCCAAGGAGAGACTGGTGAATTTGAACTGCAGACCTCTTGATTAGCAGCCATAGCTCTTAACTACCGTACCACCAGGAGACAGGAGCGTAGAAATCACCACTTCCTCCCTGCTCGTAAATCCCTAAACCCCAGGTTGTAAGAAAGCTGCGTGGTAAACTCTTTTGGGCCATCCAGTTTAGGGGAGACCAGTTGGCAGGGCTGCATCCACTGCAGCGCCTCCACCTGGCCGCCCGTTAGCAGTGGCACGTTCTGCAGAGGGGAGAGTGTAGGCCCAGGCTGGTGAGTGCAGTTTCCAGAACTCGAGGTCCTGCCTGGGTTTGTGTTTCCTTTCTTAATGTTCAATGACTTCAGTGATTGCTGAAGACCTGCAGAATGCCGTCTGTCTTCACCCTTCCCACACACATGCTCACATACATGCATGCACACACGTGCCCGCACACATGCGTGTACACACACTCACTCCTTCTAACAACCCTCCAGGGTCTCTTACTAGTTTTGAGAACCCAGTTCAGACTTTGCAGCTCAGCAAGCAAGGCTGGTGGCCTGGCTCCTGGGCCAGCCTCCCGTGCATCTCCTGTCCCCCACCTCCTGCCATCTCTGCAGCTCCCAGTGTGTGCCTCGCTTCTCACCCGCACACTGCGCGCCCCCTGGCTCATGGTCTGCCCCTCTGCCCCTCTCGCCTGCCCCCTTCTCCCACTCCCCACAATATATTTTCTGACAAACTCACCCTCATCTTCAGTACTCAGATGGTGTGTCATCTCTCAGAAACCCAGCTGCCTTCTGCGGGGTTCCCCTAATGGTCTCATTGAGCCCCATCCCTACCTCCCAATATGGAACCTCCCAGGCGTCTCTAATGATGGCTTTTTCCCAGTAGACTGTGAGCCCTGGGAGGAGAAGGGGAGAGGATGCTAGATCTTTGTATTCCCACTAGAACAACGTTCCTGGCTACAAACAAAAAGTTGCCATCAAATCGATTCCAACTCATGGTGACCCCACGTGTGTCAGAGTGGAACTGCGCTCCATAGGGTGTTCAGCGGCTGGTTTTTTTTGACGTATATTGCCAGGCCTTTCTTCTGAGGCACCTCTGGCTGGACTTGAACCTCCAACTTTCCAGTTAGCAGCAGAGCATGTTAACCATTTGCACCATTCAGGGCCAGCTGACAGTGCTTGAGAAAGGGTCATTGAAGGAGTAACTTTCAAAGGCACATGTTTCCATCTTTGGATGTTCAGTGTGACTGGCTTCAAGGAGTATTTGAAACATCTCCCCTAAGGGACGTGTTGGGAGAAAGCCGGGAGGGTGCATGGTGAAGTCACTGATGTCACTGCCCCCATCACCTGCCATGCGCTACACTCGGTACAGGACACACCTTCTCTGATTTAGTATTGGTGGGCCCACAATGGAACCAGGCCCGCAGAAAGCTGTCCGTGAGGATGCAAGCGTTGGCAGAGACTCCGTGACATTACGCAAACACAAAGATGAAGCAGTAATTTCTCTCTTAGTAAGTTAATGATCAGGGGCAGGGTGCCTTGTCCAGGGTGGTTACAGGTGACTGCACAGATGGTGAGGGCAGGCAGGGTATACTAAACAGCTGCCCTGGTGATACGGATTCTAGTCTTGTGAGATGATTAAAGTAGGATCCCAAGCTTAAATTCATTTGGAATTATAAAGCCCATGAGTTTGATAATTGAGACGTCCTTGGATGTTTGACTTGTAACTTATATAATTGAGTTGGCAGACTTTTTTGAGTACCTACTGTGTGCTAAAAGGTCCCTGGGTGATATAAACAATTTGCTTTCTCTACTAACCAAAAGGTTGATGATTCGAACCCACCCAGCAGTGCTGTGGCAGAAAGGCCTGGTTACCTGCTTCCATAAAGATTCCCCCCAAGAAAACCGTATGGAGCAGTTGTACCGTGTAACACATGGAGTTGCCATGGTTTACCATGTGCTAAGGGGAAACTAACTCGGCAGTGTAACATATTAACTGATCCTTCTCCATGGTTCCGTTTTGAGAAGGGTCTTGTGTCAGAGTTTGTGTTCAGCACATCTGGGCCTGCGTTCTGGCTTTGTGACTTGACTGCCCCATGGCCTGAGACCAGTCTCTTTGCCTCTCCGTGCCTCAGTGTCTAATCTGTGAAGTGTGGCCAATATCATCACAATATCATCTTCCTCACAGGGTTGTCCGAGGTTTTGAGACTACATATCACTTCTCTTGTCAAAATGAGAGATGACAGAGAAGCCACGCGTCCTGTGGAAGAGGTTTCACCCAAGAGAACAGAGGGGCTGGGTTTGCCTCAGTGACCTTCAGCGCCAGTGGCCTCATGGTCTCCTGTTTTCTTCTTCCCCGTAAGGTGACAGACTCGACCCCACAGCTGTGAATATCCTCCAGCAGATCATCGAGCTGGGCACCGAGACCCACGATGCCACCGCTGTGGCCTCGGTGGTTGCCATGGCACCAGGGACCGTGACTGTCGTGAAGCAGGTAAGGACCCTCCGCTCACGGTCATCCCCCCTTCCCTCCTGCTCCCTTATTTCTCCAAGGCCTTAACTTGTCTCAAGTAGAGTCTGGAAGGAAATTGGCCTAGCCTCACGTTCATGCTCTGCCTCCGCTTATTATGGGACCATGTCTTCAGTAGCTCTGTGTTTGGGAGAGGCATAGTGTATTTCAAAGAAAAGTCTAGAAACTCTTCATAAAGACTCCCGGAGTGAAAATGAACACGGTACAACCACACTTAGACACACCTCACCATGGAAAATGTCAGTTGGTGCTCAGGTGCCAGTATGGAGAGCCCTCGGGAACTGTGGGAGAGCAGAGAAGCCGGGAGGTTTCCCAATGGACTGGTCTTTTAAGCCTTTTTATTTTTTTAAATATAAGATGTCACCTGATTAGTGGAGTGCAGAACTCAAATTCTAGTAAAAAGACCAGACTTAATGTCTGACTGAGACTGGAGGAACCGCAGAAAGCATGGCCCCGGGACTCTCTGTCAACCCAGAACTAAAACTATTCCCAAGTCCAACTCTTCAGACAGGGATTGGACTGGACTGTGGGACATAAAATGATACTTGTGAAGAGTGTGTTTCTTAGCTCAAGTAGATAGATGAGACTAAATGGACAGCTCCTGTCCGGAGGTGAGATGAGAAGGCAGAGAGGGTCTGGAGCTTGTTGAATGGACACGGGAAATCTGGGGTGGAAAGGAGTGTGCTGTCACAGTATAGGGAGAGCAATTAGGGTCACATAATGGTGTGTGTATAAATTTTTGTATGTGAGACTAACTTGAAATGTAAACTTTCACTTAAACTACACCAATAAACAAAAAGAAAAAAAAAGTCACCTGATCAAATCAACCCAGGGGGACTGAACAGACAGGAAGGAAATGATCAGTGTTTGACTAAAAGTTGCTCTACTTATTGGTAATTATACTGTTTGGCTCATTTCCTCCTCTGTCCTCAGTGGGGACTTTGCCATCTGTTGAAATGCAGTGTGCTTGGTAATTAAATCATCCTTTTTATCTCTCTGTGCATATATATCCATCTATCTGTCTCCCACCTCATTTTACGAAAGATTTAAGATGGCTTACACAAATACTTAAAAAAAAAAAAACAAAACGGTAAATATGTCAGAACCAGGAAAATACATAATTTAGAATCAAAATTCAAGTTCACGGAGAAAGTTGAAACGCAGACCATAGGGCTTTGCGCAGTTATCCATTCTTTTAGTCTTTCATTCCGTCAATATTATCGAGTGCTTCTATTGTCAGGCAGCGTTCTTGTTGCCAGGGATACGAGAGCGGACCAATGCCTGTCATCATGGTGGTTATTCTCTCATGGGGAAGAAGATAATGCCCAAAGAAACAAGGGAGACAAAGAACGTGAAGCGGTGGGTGAGCCGTGCAGTGGGAAAAGTAAAGCAAAGCAAGGGGAGCAGAGATAGGGCTGAGGAGTGGGGATTGCTGGGGAAGGGGGCTCTGACGTTTGAGCAGAGACCTGGGAGAGGTGTGCGCTGCTCGAGTTATCCAGATTTAACTGTAAATTTGATACTGAATTTTGTAACAGAAAACAAGAGGGAAACATGAAACAGTTAACATTAGGGAAAGGATAGGCTTTTCTTCACACTTACGGATAGATGTTCCTTAATGTGGGCTCTCATGTAGGGACCCCTGAGTGAGGCATCCCAGAGACCTGCCTTTGATGGGTCAGGAGGGGACTTCCCAATGTGTCTCCATGACTGTCCCTCCAGGTGTGCCCAGCACTCAGTGCAAACCACGTTGTTCAGTCTAAATCATTCTCTCGGGAGTGAATACGTTCTGGTTCAACTCAGGATTTCTTGATCCACAGCCTTATAGATGAATGTTTGGACAGTATGTCCTAAAAACCTTCCTCCATACATGTGGTTTCTCTCCAGAAGGCTGTGGATGGAACTCGGGCAGTAGACAGCCCGATGTTTCCATCCTGCCCTGGGCTGGTATTCTGTATTGACCGAGAACAGAATCATCTGCTTCCAGACTAAATACTCTTTTAACTTTTCTTTGTGATTCCTGGATTGCGGTCTTCAGATTGTCTTATAAATCTCTTCTGAAACTCTTCATTTGCATCTTGGCATGTGAAATCCTGAGCTTGACGTGGCCCTTCAGGAAGGGTCTCATTGGGACGGTATCAGGAGAACTTTGGACGTTTGATTCGCCAGATCCTCTCGTGCATTGCAGGAAGGTGCTGCAGACTGTGATTTGTGTCTCCCTTTTGAGAGCAGGATTGATTTGCTGCTACTAAGGGGCGTGAGTTATTGAGCATCGCAGGCAATGCGGCGATATACAGGGTCGTGGGGTTTAGGATACAGCTTAGATACGCTGCAAGGCATCAGCCTGACAGCGCAACAAGGGAGAACACAGATAAGCGCCAGTTCAACCAGTGTACACAGGGACAGCGTGTTCACAGTAGGAGACAGCAGGGGCACCCTTTGGGGACTCTTCTTTCTTGCTGAAAACACGGGGCTTAAGAGGAGTATGACTGTTTAAGTCTTGATTAACTTTGTTTAGAAATGTTTCAGAATAATGTGAATGTTCTAGTCATTATCTTGTCTGCCTGTTTGAGAACCTGGCTCATCCAGGCTGTTGATAGATGATGGATAAGAGGATGGGTGAGTGGATGGATGGATGGGTGGATGGCTGGATGGATGGATGGATGGACAGATGCGTGGGTGGGTGTGTGGATGAATGGATGGATGGGTGGATGGGTAGGTGGATGGACTGATGGATGGGGGGCTGGGGGGGTGGATGGATGGATGGATGGATGGATGGATGGATGGATGGATGGATGGGTGGATGAATGGACAGACAGACAGATGGATGGTCAGGTGGATGTTAAATGTTCATTCTATAAGGAAAGGATTGTGATGTTTCAGGCTCTCCTAGATGAAAGACAGCTCACTGAATTCAGTTAAATGTCTTGTCATTTAAATTTAAATATAGCTGTTTTTATTAGACAAATTGGTTTTGATTTCTTTTTTATTTCTTTTAATTAAACCCTGGTTTAGGGTATTTTTCTGTAGGAAAAGTGTATCAGCTTAGTCAGAGTGCTCCAGCCACTGAAGTGTGGACTCTGGCACACCCGTTAGTGAGTGGGATGTGCTCCCTCCTCCGCATATGGGGAGCACCTTAGTGGTGGGCACTTCTTCTTGCTTCAACCCAGGACCTCACACAGACTAATTGCTCAGTCAGTGTTTACTAAACACAGTTGAGTATGCTGTGGGTTTCACACTTCGATCTCCCCATTAAATCCTGCAGATCAGTAGCGGAGAAGAAAATCACGAGTGCCTCGTCATAAAATACATGGTGTACATCGGGGAGCAAATATTCTAACATTACCACTGAGTGGTGTATTTCGAGATCTTTTTAAAGATCTCTGTTTTATATGCATCTTCCACAGGACCCACAGCTAGTTCTGGGTTTGAGGAATCAGCTCAACCCTGCAGGCCCTTGAGGCGATGGCAGCCCAGTTACCCCGACGCCCAGAAGTCCTCCGCTGAGGCCCATACTCCACTTTAATTCCCTGGGCAAGAGAATCACCATTCCTGGAAGTCAGTATTTCAGTAGTAACTGTTAGTAACACTGATTGTCAGTGGCGCCCTGTCTCTGTCCCCACCGGGGTGTCTCCCTGCAGCCCAGGAGTCGGCCGCCTGTGGCTCCCGTGCTGAAGGACGGACTACCCACTCCCAGCTCCTGGTTCTCTCCAAGGCCCCCGGGGCCTGCCACCGTTCTCTTCGGTTTAGTGTTTTTCCTCGATGTGCTAGATGCCTCCAGGCTGTGGTGCAGCGCTCGGTGGCAGAAGTGGCGGGGAACCCCAGGAAGTAGAGTACTCAGTGGCAGAGTAGTGGGGAACCCCAGGAAGTGCAGTGCTCATGGCAGACGAGGCGGGGAACCCCAGGGAATGCAGTGTCAGTGACAGAGTAGTGGGGAACCCCAGGAAGTGCAGTGTCGGTGGCAGAGTGGCAGGGAACCCCAGGAAGTGCAGTGCTCAGTGGTAGAAGTGGCGGGGAACCCCAGGAAGTGCAGTGTTCAGTGGCAGAGTGGCGGGGAACCCCAGAAAGTGCAGCACTTGGTGGCGGAAGTGGCAGGGAACCCCAGGAAGGAGCAGTTAAGGCCTCCTCAGACCTGCACACACCTTCCCCCACAGACATCTGCCCAGCATGCTGCAAAATTCTGCCGCCATAATCTTGTTCAAAATCTACCCTGCTCTTCCTTCGTTTTTACTACTGATGTAAAAAAAAAAAAAAAGCATAAAATCCAGCTTTGCGAAAATCAGCCTAGCTGCTCCCCCTGCCCTCTGTCATCTTCGGCTTGGCCCCCTGGTGGCTGGCCCTGGAGGGAGAAGTTGAGGAACCTTGAGTCTGGAAGAGAGCAGTGGGCGGAGCCTCCTTCAGGGGCTCAGCGTGCAGTGCTTCGTCTGAGAGGAAATTTCAGTGGCAGTTCTCTCTGGAAGACATACGTTGGTTGCCAGCCAACACTGGAATTGCTGTTCGGTATTTGCAGTGTGTTCTTTTTGCAAGGGAATGCAGTCCACATCTGTGGTGACCCTGCACACCAGCAGCCTGCTTGCAAGGGAGTATGTGCCTCCAGCCTGTCCCGTTAACTTAAGGTGTTCATAAGCTGGTCCCCTGAAGCCCTTTCCCGCTGGTGGTCTGTAAAGGACATTTGATGGGTGCAGAAGGGACTTCTCAGGTGTAGCCTCTGGCTTGACAGAAGCTGCCTGCCCTGTGATCCGCCTGAAAGGGGAGCCCAGTTTACCCTTCCTGCCTCTGGGGCAGACGTTGAACTTTGATAAGATTTGGGTGCACAAATGGTTAAGTGCTTGGCTACTAACCTAAAGGTTGGTGGTTCAGGTTTACCTGGAAGCACCTCAGAAGAAAGGCCTGGTGGTCTACTTCTGAAAAGTCAGCCACTGAAAACTCTATGGAGCATAGTTCTAATCTGACGCACGTGGGGTTAC